GGGGAGGATCCCTCGTCTGTGGCCGTCGTAGCCACTTCTGGCTCACCTGGCGGGCTTACGGAGACTGCGGCTGCTTGGCACGGCCCAAGTCTCGCTGCAACGCTGCAATCTGCGCCTCGAGTTGACTGATCGTTTCGGGGCTCACATCTTGCTGCATCGGGATCACCGGCGTCTCTTCTTCTTGGATCAGGTCCCATGACGGACTCCTTTTGCATGTCCCCTTGTTGCCGCTCGACATCATGCCCTGCGTCTGCGGAATGACCGGTTCTTGCTTCCTGGCCGAGCTCATGGACCCCTGGCTCTTTGTCCCGATGACCTTGTGAGTCTCGAAGTGGTTCAGGTCCTCGGACTTGGGCGTCGGCGAGGTCATCAATGATGTTCCTGGGCTGTAGGCACTCTTTTGCGCCCGCGTCAAGGCTCGGATGAACTCCTGGAAGCTTTTCAAAGACTTCTCGGTGAGAGACCGGTTGGCGATATAACGTCCATGGCCGGGATCTTGTTCGACCGCTGCCAGGAAGGTCTTTCCGCGGTGCTTCCCGGATTCGAGAACGAAAGTCCCCCAATCGCGTAGCGAACTTACCCCGACTGGTTTCATCACCGGCTTGTCGTCCAGAATGTTCAGGTTCAAGTCGCTGTCCTCCTTCCCAGTCAACGCGAGGTCGAGTATCTGGGTAACGTCGGTCATGTTCATGCGCTCCGATTCGAAGTTGAGGACCGAAAAACTGCTGGAAGTTTGGAGCATCTGTTGTTTCACTCAATCCCTCGGTCGCAACCAAGACGTCTGCCGTTTGAAGCCCCAAGAGCTCACGAACATCGATTAGATACAGCCCTTTTTCGCCTACGTTCAGGGGAATTTCTTTTTGCCACTGTGGAATCCAGAGGGTATTGGTTTCAAAGTTCAGGTGGCTCTTAATTTGTCGCAAGAATGCATTTGAAATCAGGAACGGCGTTTGGCCGGCAACAATTTCCACAGCAAACATCTGATGCTTTCCAAAAGGGATGTATGCGGTCTTAAGGCTTGCTAGGGTTCCATTGTTGCCAAACCGAAATACTACCTGAGAATCAGCCATGCGAATCTGCGCACGTGTGCTTGCAGGTAACTGCTCAGTGAATCGACTAAAGCTCGATTTTCCAACCACCGTTCTGCTGGCGCCGGTGTCAAGGATAGCAGCCTCTGCCCTAACGGTCACTAAAGCCCTTTCACAATGGTCATCAGCCCTCAGCCTAGGCTTACATAGCTGAAGCAAGCGACTCTGGAGTCTGAGCTTGACACCTTCTGCTCGGAAGCAGTTCGGGTCAACAAGATATTCATGCTGCCCAAAGAACATTAACTCTGATTGCATGCTAATTGGTGAGCTGAGGTCGGGTCTTGGGGACGTGCTCTTCTCTACCATGTCGCCCTTCTTGAGGTGCTCCTCGAGCCCGATGGTGCTGAAGGGAAGGGGCCGCTCGAGAATCTCGGCGGCATCTCTGACCTCCACGTTGTCCTCCGCTATGTCGGTCATCATCATGGCAAAGTTGTTCACCTCATTTCCAGGCCCTGCTCCGGAACTACTGGAAGACCGCGTCGGACACTCGAGGCGCCAATGCCCTCGTTGCCCGCACAGTCTGCAATGGCTTCCCGCGATGCGCTCAGCCAACGACTTCTTGTGACTGCCAAATCGACCGCCCTTCTTTCCTCCTCCTTTGCCCTTCCCCTTTTCGGGGAGGCCAAAACCCTCAAGACTTTGCTCGATCTCGCAGGCGTTGGCGCGCAGCAGCATATGCTGAGAAACAACTTGCCAGTTCTGGCATGTCTTGGATTATTTCGTTGATGCTGTCTTCGTACTCGGTGATGAACACGGCGTCTTCATCCCCCAACTCCGCAAAGTACACGAGCATCTGGTCCTCGTCGTAGTCTTCCTCCATGAAGTGGGCTTCGTCCGTCTCCTCTGTCTCCACAAAGTTCGCCGGATAGATCTTCTTCTTGCCCTCGCTGGAAGAAGTCAAGATCTTTGTAGACAGAGTCCGCATTGCATTCTCGATCTTCTCAGCTTCCATCGTGCCGCCACTAAGTGTGATCACTTTCCTCTTGTCCTCTGTCGTCAAGTAGCTTTGGCGTAGCAGGATGAAGGCCTTGAACTCCTTCATTGTGACAGCGTCGCCAAGCTCGTGAAATGCCACCGAGAGGCGATTCACGAAAGACATGGTCGTTTCATCCATCTTCTGGGTGGTTCTGTAGATGGCCTTCTCGAACTTCTCGTACGTCTGCAGCTCTGCTGCCTCATCCCACGAGGACAATGCTTTCAGGAGTACTTGGATGCCTTGCTCAGGGTCTGTCAGCTTCGTTGCATCGAGTGCCTTCACTTGGCTCCAGGCTGTTCCTTTGCATAGAAGCGCTAGCCTCGGTGCCAACATCGATCGGTCTTTGGCCGGGCAAACTTGATGCAAGAAGATGACCTTGTCCTTGTACTCTCTGGGATCGTCCGCTGCAGGATCAAAACTTGGCAGGAGATTCCATATGCCCCTGCTGGACTCCTCGGTGCTACTTGAAGCACCACCACCATGTTCACTTGATTCCGTCGGCATCTGCCGGTCTGATCTTCTTGGGCTCACCTCCTTGGATCACGGACGCGCCACCCCTTTCGCTCCACAAAGCGGGGGTCCAGGCGCTCCGCTACCAATTTGGATCCTTGCCCCGACGTTGACCTACTCAATTTGGATCCTTGCCCCGATGTTGGCCTACTCCTCGTCCTCGAGGATCCGATGGTAGAGCGGCCTCGCTCTTCTTTTCCTTCCCCACTGCGCTGTCCACAGCGCCTGCTATGGCTCAAGAGGTTCCTCTAAGGACTGCCACCTTAACCCTCCCTCCCCAGCTCTATGAGCCCGGAGATCAAGAGGTGACAACGCAATCAGCAGAGGTTCCAGAGCAATCAGCAGACCTTGGGACGTTCACAGACCTGAAGTTCATACCTACTTACATCGCATTGCAGTCGTTTAGGCCTTCGAAAGGTTGCACAGCCTCCTCCACACCGCACAAAGGCCTTTCCCCCTCCCCCCCCCCTCTAAAAACCTTGAGACAAACTCCCAAACCTCGGAGCGCAAAGTCAGGACCTTGGCCGATCACTGCGCCGCCGAGAACTTGCCCCACTTCGAGCCGGAGCACCTGGAGGCCCATCTGATCAAACGTTAAAGGCCAAAGAAGAAGATGTTTCGAGGTTATGGGGCGTCGAGAGGGTGAGGCGTGGCATATTTAAAGCGTGTTTTATAGTACAAAAGTTGAGGGCTTTGAAGCTTTGGGCTGGGTGCGGTTCGCCACGTGTTTGTCAACCATGGCGGTGAGTTTAGGAGGTCGAGGGCTCTTGAGATGCGAAGCAAGTTTTCCAGAGGCCTTGAGGACAAGTTTTCATCAGGGCTTGGTGGTAAGGAGTTGTGATGGCTTTTAGCACAAGGATGAATACACATGATGCTTCATGCCCGAAGCGGCCACGCGGCGCCCTGCGACGAGGTGCTAACTTCATGCCTGCCAACGCCAGATGTCGACATCGACAACGCTTGGCTTGCGATCTTTGAGAAGGTCCGGTGCGGTTGAGATTTTCAGTTTTGTGCTACATGGGTATTTCCCAAAATAGGGGTACCCCTTTTATACCCCAAATAGAATGTCCCTTTAAAGGGACCCCCCCCCCAAACAGGGTACCCCTTTCTCGGAAACCCCCGGCATCTCACATGCCGTGTTTTCGGGATGAACCAGCACTGTGCCGGAAATTGCGTTCTGTCCTTCCATCGCAGTTTGGAGGCTACATGCTGAGTGATCAGTTTCTGTACCGTCCCTTTCTATGCCACGCACATCTTGAGTGTGTGGCTTGAGGTTTGCTCATGGCCTACTTCTTCATGTCGGCTTGATTTGGGGGGTTGGGCTTCAGGGGGCGTTCTTTGTTCGCATGAGCCTTGGGCTTGTGCAAACCTTTGCCTCTCAGGGCCCCAAAAAAATTCGAGCAATCACGGAATCTGCAGAAAAATTACCGACGGGCCATTGTCCACAACGTTTCCACCGAGTCGCAGGTCAAAAACTACATCTTCGTGGCTGCTTTGGATCCGGTGTTGCATGCAGGGGCAGTGGACGTCATCAGCTCAGGGCGCGAGTTCTAGCAGGAAGAGCCGAAGCCACCGCAAGGGTTCTGGGAAGTTCTGGGGGGGGGGGGGACAGCATGTGGTTCTTGGAACGACCCATTCAAGAAAGAAGCAGTGCGCTGGCATGCCTCGACAGTGCAGACCACCGCTCCCTCGAAGCCCGAAGCGTGTCGTAGGCCCAGAAACCGAAAGGCCCCATAGCTGCAAGCGACTGAATCAACCCTTCAGCTTCCAAAGAGTCATCGTTTGGGTTGCGGGGAGTTTCTGCAAGCTTCTTTGACTTTTGTTGGGCAGTCGAGACGGATCGAAACCCCTCAGGGCCGTCAGCGCCTTTCCCCTGAATTAGACAACACCTCGACAACACCAACCGAATCTGACAGAATGAGGTCATTCGGAGGTTTTGGCTCTGCCGCCCTCAATCACTGGCTTTGAGGCCGAGACCGATACGGGGCCGGAACTTGGGTTAAGGCATGCTCGATTTGGGTTGATGGCTTCAGGGGGCTTGGGGGTGTTAAGTTGTGCTTGCGACTTACTGTGAAATGCGACGCCTCAGGAATTTGCTGTGCACGGCCTAAGTATTCGTCTTTCTGGATCTGCTTTGCAGAAGCTTTGGGCTTTGGGTGCATTTCAGTTTCACATCGGGCTTCTGCAAAAATTTTTGTGGGTTTGGGACATCAGGTTCAGGGGGCCAGTGGAAGTGCACGTCCACTTGTGCTGCAGGAGGATCTCTACCAAAAACCAGGGAGAGCTTATACTACGTTGCATTTGACCTCCGAAGAACTTGCGCCCTAGAGCCCTTGAATCCCGGGAACCATTCGACCGTTCGGCCGAGTGCCGAATCCAGTTCTGGCTCGAAGCATCTGCAAAAGTGACTGCAGTGATTGGTAGCCATGCGGGCCTTCAAAGTTTTGTCGCCCAGTTCAACTGAGAGGGCTGTCGAGGTTTGTGGCATTTGCGGGATGTGCCTCCCCGAGCTTCGTGCAGGTTCCCCTCCCCCCGCCACCCCTCCCCCAAGTCAGAATACGGAAATGAGGCTTTCATGCGTGCTACAAGGCATCATGCCACAAGCAAAATGGAGAGGCCCGCCACACCACTGAATAAGCCTTGTGAAGCTTGTGCTTCTTTTCCAATAGATTTAAATCTTTCAAGCATGTCCATGCGGCGAAATGTATGCCAACACGACACGCGCCGCACGAACCACACGGACGACACACAGCGCATGTCGATGTGGAGCCCCAGAAGCTCTGACAAAGACCCAAGGTTTAGGATCCCTTAAGAGGTCTGAGGAGCACCTCCTCCAGTTTTGGGCCAAGGCTGGCATGCTTGCCGCTGAGCATGGCGACCGATACGGCGGCCCTGAATGTGCAGTTGGACATTTGGCCATTGAAGGTTTAAAAGTTCAGGGGGTTTTCGGAAGCTCTGACAGGATTTTCCAGGGAGTCCTGCATCAACTCATGGTGTATGGTGGTGTATGTGTGCCGTGAACGAGAGGGCTGGTAGGGCCTGGTAGGGTCCAATCCCCAATGCTGAGTCTTGGAGCAGCCAAGGAAGCCCTGCGCGCTGAGGTGTGGTCGACGGTTCTTGGAGTTAGGATGCTAACTACCTACAAGTCTAGGGTTGGCAAAGTCTTTCTACACCCACAGCGCCTGTGGAAGCTACAAGGGTGAGGCCGTGCACCCCCCAAATCCTGATGTTCAGCAGGTGCAGGCCCAGAAGGACCTGATCCAGCAGCAGCAGGCAAAGATGGACTCCTACTCACAGACCCTCAGCTGCTGAATGTGAGTTGTTTCTTTTTTTGGAGGGGGGTCTGCTAAGCCTACCGCCTACTACGCGCAGTACTGGCTGCGCCCTGCATCCCCCGACAGAGCACTTCAATGCTCTTCGTGCGGCCTTTCGGTATTTGCGTTAGTGACCTGTTGTTTTTTTTTAATGATTTTTCCACCTCACGCCACGAGCTGTGCACAGCGGGAAATTGCTGCGTGAGAGGAATGTGTTTTGATGGTGTAGGGTTTGGTGAGGGTTTGGAGTTTGGAGTGGACTGTCGCTGTCTGGCCATAGAGGGGCTCCACGGAATTGAGCTGAGTTCGCGACGGCTCCAGACCTATGTCAGCCAGGCAGACTATGATACCAAGGCGACGCTGAATCCCTCAACCTGAATCCTGGCACCCAAGTAGCTACTTCGAGACAAGTCAAGCTTCCAAAGTTTCCAAGCCCTCCACTTCCTTAATCCTCGGTAAACCCGGTGTTAACCCCTCAATCCGAGCAAACCCAGGCCCGGTTCTCCTTTAAACCCCTAACCCCCAAAGCCTAAACCGAGACCCTCCATGGACTCGAAACCTGGACCCAACCCGAGATGCCACAGAAACCCACAGCCTCATTGAAGTTGAATACCTTTTCGAAAATCGTTGGGGTGTGAGTTGTTTTTTTTTTTTTTTTTTTTTTTTCTTCTGTTTTTTTCTCGAGTATATGTGCGCTTTGAGCTTCAACGCACGCAAGCTGTAGCAGGAAATCCGCGATGAGACTTTCTGGCACGTCTTTTGTTGTTGTCATCGTCAACCCAAGATGAACATGTTTATTCACTGCTCAAGCTCAACGCAAGCACATCCAGGTATCTCCTCTAGTAACTCCAGTAACTATAGTATCTACCCAGCAATCTACTCAGTACTGAGGCTCTTCGGAGCCTCTAGTCTGCTCAGCTACAGATACTCCGTTCTCGTCTTCGGCTCATCAACCTCCCCTCCGCTACAACACCAGCGCACTTCGTCTAAAGATAGTCTACAGCATGAGAGTCTCGTATTTTTACATCTACATTGCATCACCATCAGATCCTCATCGCCATCTCCTCGGCATCAGCATCTTCACCTTGACATCAAGAGCCTCGTTGTATGCTCAGTAGTACGGAGTTCCGCGTGAAAGGGTGTCAGGGACGTAAACGCCAACCGACACCCTACAGCCAGATTCTGCTCAACCTCAACCCCCCCCACCCCCCCGAAACCCAACCCCGAAGCTCAGCGAAGCTCTCGAAACAGGTCGCAGAACTGAAAAGTGCCGACTATGGCTTTGTTGGAGCTCTGGACTCTGCCTGGTTGTGCCTCTGCGGCGCCTCGGCGAAAGAGAAAAGGCCTCAAATTATTCGAGGGCGCGAGGGGAGGAGGGGGTTCTCCTTTCTTATGGTTTTGGTAGAGGATCCAAATAAGGGGCTGGAGAAAGCAATGACATAGGCAACAACGTGAGGTGCTTCTCTTCCAGTAGACGGGGCAGGACGTAGCCCAATCCAAGACTCAAGACCTTGAAGGGAGCTGATATTGTGTCGTTGTCTCATAGGATGTACAGAGGAGAACGCAGAAGATCTCACACATTAGCAGCCGCAAGTTCCCCCTATACGAGTATAGTACCCCGATTATAATCCCAATTAAGGACTGTTAGAGAAGGGGGAACATCCCAAGCTTTAAGTTAGGATGTTTCGCAGTTAGTCTTAAAGTTTAGGGTCCACCATCAGTTATGACAAAAGAAATCCTGCATCTGCGAAATACCAGATAACTCGGTTCTCAGGGTTCTCTTGAGCTCGATGATATTAGCTGCACAGATGGGCCAGCCAACACGTCAAACACCGCCCTAAATTGCCCAAAGACCATGCGTGCACCCCAGTTCAACAGCAGGTGCTTTGGTGATGTTTATGCATGCGGGCTTCGCAATGCTGGAGACCGGATCCTGCCGTGCCAAGAATGCCTCCAACGTGCTCATGAAGATTCTTGGGGCGTACAGGGAGAGTAGGTCTGTGGTTAAGGGGCCAACCGAGAAATTCGGAGGCTTGGGAAAGTTGCGGTTCAGAGCCTTTAGACGATGTTTAGGAGAGACCCGCTTCGGGGTTACCGAATGCGGTGACAGCCCAGAAAGCTGCCTCCGTCATGGCTTTTCTACCTCGTACCCGTGGAGAACTGGCCGGAAGCCGACCTGAACAACTTGGGACCACAGGCATGTCACAATATGTCCTGAACTTGAAGAACCCCCAGTATGCAGCGGAGAAACATCCGCTACAAGCTGCCTGAACGCAAAGGAACCTGGTGAATGTCACCGTGGGCACCCTCGGCTGGTGGGTCTTCGGCTGGGCCGCTTGCCGGCAAGCTTCTGCCCTAAGTCCGACGAATGGTTTGCGACACTTTCAAAGCCCCAACTCCTCCACATTATAAAAACGGATGTTCTTCAGCCCTAGACCACCTCCAAAGTGGGGAGTAGCTTTTTGGGGATGTCATCTGCAGACGGCTTGCCTATCATCAGCAGCCGGTGCCTTGACGAGGCTTTCGCATACGGCACGCAAGAGGGCCAAAGCTTCTCGGAATATCAGACTTGCTGTGCTTGTGGCCTACGACAGTCTGGCGCCAACATGTTCCAGCCAAACTTCAACGCACCAGGAAGTGGCGTGAGGGTGTTGAGGTGTTGAGGGCTCGTGGGACTTCGACTTTGGAAGCGAATGCCATGAAGTCGAGTGATGTTGCTACTCGTACCCTGAAGGTGAGCCCCGGTGAGGTCTGCATCAATGTACCCAATGTACTCTTGATATCATGAGCCCGAGATTTCTTAGGGAAGGGCCCGGCGCAGGCTTCATCGGCACTAGCGGCTTCTTTGGCTGGGACTTCTACACCAAGGACGATCACCCGACGTTGTACAAGCTGTTTAGAAAAAAGAACTGCACGTGGGCCTTCGGTACTAACAGAGGAGAGAGCCAGGGAGCTCTGCACCTCAAGCTGTCCAAAGTTTGTCATGCGCTGCCAAACAGCCCTTGACAAAATCTGCGGCCTTGTCGAAACATCCCACATAAATCCGGACTTTCTCTGCGGAGGACGCCAACACCCTGGTCATTACCCCAGGAGATTGCAACGCCGACGGGTGCCAGTCCACCATGCTGCTTGCCTTTAGGACTTTAGATGTTTTTAAGGTTCTGCAGTGTTGGAGGGTGTTAAGGACTTAGTCGCCTAGCACTGAGTCGCTCGGGTTGACTTGAGGGGCTTACTGGCTCATGTTTCAAATGCCATGACCCCCCACTGGGGGAGACAACGAAGTGTCTGAACAACTGAGTCTGCCGCTTTCGTACCAGCTCCGACATGGAGGCCCCTACCAGGTGTAGGAGAATCCTCGGCTTTGTGAAGCTTGCGAGAAACACGAGGCGACCCTTGTCGTTGCAGTACTTGTAGGACCTCTCAGGGTCTTCGATAATCCGATGAGCGACTCCCCTCGTTGCCAAGGCTGAGCTGGTTCTTCCAGTGACTTGGGCTGACTTGGGAAGGCTCTTATGTGCCTTTAGCACGCGAAGCGTTGAACTCTTGAGCCGTGCGAAGCGGCTTCGATGCCAGGTGGGCCTTCTGCACCGCCGGCGCCACGATCGTCAGCGGTGGAGTTGCAGAGCGCGTGAAGACCCTTGTCCTCCAGATCAGCTGCCATGCCGAGCAATGCCAGGGAGTCGGGTTTTGCGAGGTTCTTGGTTCGGGTCAGGGGGTTGTGAGGGAGAGACCCTGAACCCTCAGCCCCAGGCCCTGCAAGCTTTGAACTAGAGATGCTGGCTGTCTCGTCTGACGACCTGCCCAGAGAACAGATTATCAAGCTTTTTGAGAAGCACTTGCATTCCCAGAGCAAGGCCCTCGGCTCCCATCTCCAACCGAGAATCTATTGCTTCATTCCTGACAACTCGGTTGTTCTCCAGCACGCCTTCAACCAAAGCCATGCAAAAGAAGACATCAACATGAGGAGCCCCACTTACGCGGCCTATGCCTTCTGCCGCTCAGACCATCTGAGAAGGGACTGGGGGAACGCAACCGTGGGGAGTTGGGGCCGAGGGATTTTCGGGATGCCGTGCGGAGTCAACGAGGGTGATGGAGATTCTCAAGGGGCTTAAGGGGACTGATGCGCTCTTTCCGGCCCAGAATGTTTAGGAGATGGAGAATCTGATGTGAAGGTTGATCAGAGAAGAGCAGCTAAAGTAATGTGGTAAATTGCAAACGGAAGCGCAGCCGGCTTAAAGGAAGCATGCCTCAGGGCTCACAGTCACAGTTCTGGGCGAACACCGCTTCAATTAGACAGAAGTGATGAATAAGTCTCGATCATCAGGTTTTGGTATGCAAAAAGCTCACCCCTTTTTTACGTTCCCATCGGCAATTTGGCCCTCCCGCCAAGGCATGACAAGCTCCTGGGCTCTCGTATGGTGTGCCTTCCTTTTTGGGGGGAATTTCGGATCTTGCATGGACTTTGCCTTGCGCTTGATATTGTGCCTTGAGAGTGCGCATCGCGCACTTCTGGGTTCTCTGAACAGAACTCGACCGAACTCTGCAGAACTTAGGCTTCATTTATCCCATCATCGTGGCCTGGACTTGGGGCGGTGGCTGGTTGGCCTCGATCTTCGACGTGGGTGGCACGGCTGACTCAAGCGTTGAGTTTTCGGGGCTGGCGTGAAGACGCCAACTTGCTTCTGTGTCCTCCCCGGCTTAGCAGTCACCCTGATCCCAAGCGGCATGCGCCCTCTTCTGGTCCTCGCCACCGGAGGGGTTGCGCCTGCCATTGCGCAAGCTGGACTTAAGCTTTTTGGGTTCGGGCAAGGTTGAGAATGCGGCGTATCAAATTCCTTGTCTGAGATCATGAGCTGTCCAGGCTACATGGACTTCGCTGGCAGTGGCATTGTTCACCTTACGGGAGGCGCATGGATTTCCACGATGGTGTAAGGTTCAGTCAAAGCGTTTGGGGCTTCAATATTTCAACTTTTCAGGTGTGGCGAGGCTGTGGAGGCTTGGGAGGTTGCACAACTTTGGGACACCCTATATTCGGCCTCCAGACGCAGACCCTGGCACTCAAAGCCGCGCTCAAAGCATCCCCGCATACCATCAATACAACAAGGCGCCGACTCTCAGATGTCCAATCACATACTGCGGCGACGGGCAGAACCACAAGCTCAAAGCAGGCCTCACAGATCCTCAGCAAGCTGACACGAAAGGCGGCGAAAGGATGTCTACCACTATAAAGCATTCTCAACGTAAGCCGTAAGCCCCTGAGACGTTCCAAGACACTGTGCAGCTCGAAGCTGCGCACCTTGCCCAGCTAGTAGGGATGCCCTGCTTTTTCTTGCTGCCTGGCACCCGAGGAGGGAAGCCCCGAGCCCCCGAGCACCGCAAAGTCCTGAGCTCCCTACCCCCCAAAAAGGCAGGTCAGGGTCCCCCCCCCCCGTGTGCAGCTTAAATAGGGTCTATTTGGAAGCTGGGAATCGTATTTACAAGAGGAAAACAGGCCCCAAAACGTATACTTATTCACAAGAGCCATGTTCCAAATAGACCCTATTTTAGGTCCTGTAGGGTTGCACAGACAGAATTTAATTCATTAAATTCCTTAATTTCCACTTTCCCCCTGGAATTTAATGAATTTAATCAATTAATTCAATTAATTCATTTATTTCCAAAGGGGGGGGTGGAATTAATTGAATTAGTTGAATTAATTGAATTAATTGAATTAATTGAATTAATTGAACCCCCCCCTTTGGAAATAAATGAATTAATTGAATTAATTGAATTAATTGAATTAATTGAATTAATTGAATTAATTGAATTAATTCAATTAATTCAATTAATTCATTTATTTCCAAAGGGGGGGTGGAATTAATTGAATTAATTTAATTAATTGAATTAATTCAATTAATTCAATTAATTCAATTAATTCATTTATTTCCAAATGGGGGGGATTCCCCAGACCCCACCCCCCCAGCTCGATTTGGCCAAATTTTGCCCGGAGGCTGCCCGGCAAAATTTGGCCAAATCGAGCCGCGCCTTTCTGGAGGCCCGAAATTATTTAAACTATCGCGGCTCGATTTGGCCAAATTTTGCCGGGCAGCCTCCGGGCAAAATTTGGCCAAATCGAGCCACGCATTTCTCATCGCATACGAAGGGCAGCCCGATTTGGCCAAATTTTGCCCGGAAGCTGCCCGGCAAAATTTGGCCAAATCGAGCCGCGATAGTTTAAAAATTTCGGGCCTTCAGAAAGGCGCGGCTCGATTTGGCCAAATTTTGCCCGGAGGCTGCCCGGCAAAATTTGGCCAAATCGAGCCGCGCATTTCTCATCGCGTTCGACGAGCAGCCCGATTTGGCCAAATTTTGCCCGCAGACTGCCCGGCAAAATCTGGCCAAATCGAGCCGCGCCTTTCTGGAGGCCCGAAATTATTTAAACTATCGCGGCTCGATTTGGCCAAATTTTGCCGGGCAGTCTGCGGGCAAAATTTGGCCAAATCGGGCTGCTCGTCGTACGCGCTGAGAAATGCGCGGCTCGATTTGGCCAAATTTTGCCGGGCAGCCTCCGGGCAAAATTTGGCCAAATCGAGCCGCGCATTTCTCATGGCATACGAAGAGCAGCCCGATTTGGCCAAATTTTGCCCGCAGGCTGCCCGGCAAAATTTGGCCAAATCGAGCCGCGATAGTTTAATAATTCCGTTCAATTAGTTCATTCATTTCCAAATGGGGGGGATTCCCCAGCCCCCACCCCCCCCCCCTTTGGAAATAAATTAATTAATTGAATTAATTGAATTAATTCAATTAATTCATTTATTTCCAAAGGGGGGGGTGGAATTAATTGAATTAATTGAATTAATTGAATTAATTGAATTAATTGAATTAATTGAATTAGTTGAATTAATTGAATTAATTGAATTGATTCAATTAATTCAATTAATTCATTTACTTCATTTATTTCCAAAGGGGGGGGGTGGGGGCTGGGGAATCCCCCCCATTTGGAAATAAATGAATTACTTGAATTAATTGAAATAATTGAATTAATTCAATTAATTCAATTAATTCCACCTCCCCTTTGGAAATAAATCAATTAATTGAATTAATTGAATTAATTCAATTATTTCAATTAATTCATTTATTTCCAAATGGGGGGTGGGGGCTGGGGCATCCTCCTCCCCCCAATACTAAACCACGAGCCCGGGCCTCCCCCCAATACTAAATCACGAGCCCGGGCCTCCCCCCAATACTAAATTACGAGCCCGGGCCTTCCCGCAATACTCAATCACGAGCCCGGGCCTCCCCCCAATACTAAATCACGAGCCCGGGCTAAATCACGAGCCCGGGCCTCCAAATTACGAGGCCGGGCCTCCCCCCAATACTAAATCACGAGCCCGGGCCTCCCCCCAATACTAAATCACGAGCCCGGGCCTCCCGCAATACTAAATCACGAGCCCGGGCCTCCCCCCAATACTAATTTACGAGCCCGGGCCTCCTCCCAATACTAAATCACGAGCCCTCCTCCCCCATTCAATTAATTCAATTAATTCAATTAATTCATTTATTTCTAAAGGGGGGTGGAATTAATTGAATTAATTTAATTAATTGAATTAATTCAATTAATTCAAATACTTCAATTAATTCAATTAATTCAATTAATTCATTTATTTCCAAATGGGGGGGATTCCCCAGACCCCACCCCCCCAGCTCGATTTGGCCAAATTTTGCCCGGAGGCTGCCCGGCAAAATTTGGCCAAATCGAGCCGCGCCTTTCTGGAGGCCCGAAATTATTTAAACTATCGCGGCTCGATTTGGCCAAATTTTGTCGGGCAGCCTCCGGGCAAAATTTGGCCAAATCGAGCCACGCATTTCTCATCGCATACGAAGGGCAGCCCGATTTGGCCAAATTTTGCCCGGAAGCTGCCCGGCAAAACTTGGCCAAATCGAGCCGCGATAGTTTAAATAATTTCGGGCCTCCAGAAAGGCGCGGCTCGATTTGGCCAAATTTTGCCCGGAGGCTGCCCGGCAAAATTTGGCCAAATCGAGCCGCGCATTTCTCATGGCGTACGAAGAGCAGCCCGATTTGGCCAAATTTTGCCCGCAGGCTGCCCGGCAAAATTTGGCCAAATCGAGCCGCGATAGTTTAAATAATTTCGTTCAATTAGTTCATTCATTTCCAAATGGGGGGGATTCCCCAGCCCCCACCCCCCCCTCCTTTGGAAATAAATTGAATTAATTGAATTAATTGAATTAGTTGAATTAATTCAATTAATTCAATTAATTCATTTATTTCCAAAGGGGGGGTGGAATTAATTGAATTAATTGACTTAATTGAATTAATTGAATTGATTCAATTAATTCAATTAATTCAATTAATTCAATTAATTCAATTAATTCAATTAATTCAATTAATTCAATTATTTCCAAATGGGGAGATTCCCCAGCCCCCACCCCTCCCCCCCCTTTGGAAATAAATGAAGTAATTGAATTAATTGAATTAATTGAAATATTTGAATTAATTCAATTAATTCAATTAATTCAATTAATTCCACCTCCCCTTTGGAAATAAATGAATAAATTGAATTATTTGAAATTCAATTAATTCAATTAATTCAATTAATTCAATTAATTCAATTAATTCAATTAATTCAATTAATTCAATTAATTCAATTAATTCAATTAATTCATTTATTTCCAAAGGGGGGGGGTGGGGCTGGGGAATCCCCCCCATTTGGAAATAAATGAATTAATTGAATTAATTGAATTAATTGAAATAATTGAATTAATTCAACTAATTCAATTAATTCCACCTCCCCTTTGGAAATAAATGAATTAATTGAAGTAATTGAATTAATTGAATTAATTCAATTAATTCAATTAATTGAATTAATTCATTTATTTCCAAAGGGGGGGGGTGGGGGCTGGGGAATCCCCCCCATTTGGAAATAAATGAATTACTTGAATTAATTGAAATAATTGAATTAATTCAATTAATTAAATTCATTCCACCTCCCCTTTGGAAATAAATCAATTAATTGAATTAATTGAATTAATTGAATTAATTCAATTATTTCAATTAATTCAAGTAATTCATTTATTTCCAAATGGGGGGTGGGGGCTGGGGCATCCTCCTCCC